GCTGAATAAGCACACTTCTGAACGATCACTTTTCTGCAGCACGTCCTGCTTTTGCCAGCTGCTGATTACCCTCCTACTAACCACAAGTGATATGTCCACATTACAGATGTGAGTAGACAGTAAGGATACTGCATTTACCTTGAAATTAATTAAATAATGCACTTAAGGAAGCCCAGCAGCAAAGTCTGATTAATTCCGGAAACTTAGGAGGGTATTCAGACAATAATAGGCAGAAATGCTCTGCTAAATAGAGACGAGCATCAGAGACAACCTCACTTTGGAATTAGAGTCTCATGCAAAGACAGTGAGAATTTGCATTTAATGTGATTATTAAAATCCATTTGTAAAGGATAGAGTCTAGTCCACCTATACAGATTCTCCAAAAATGAGATGACCTTGCAAATATAACAAAAAGCAACCTTCCAGGAATGAAATGAAATGTTTTTATGGACATCTCTTTCCAGTACAAGACCTAAAAGAAAGAACAAGCTAATCTGTGCCACCTATTTGGAAAGAGACAACTCCCCACAGCTCATCAGTTGTTTGAACTAAACATTTGCAGAGGAAGTTTTGATAGTCATTACTAAAAATAAACTCCAGTATGTGAGGCTTATTTTGTAGTCTTCCATAACATCTTTCCTGCACTATTTTTCTGGGAATTTTGTGAGCTAACATTTGAAGAGCTTTTGTCAAACTCTTAAGGAAATACAGCCACAGGTAGAAATTTCACAACCTTCTAAAACTGAGACTTCAAGTGTGGTTTATGCTCACTTTCTTTATTAGTGAAAATTGAAAATAGGTAATTTTTTTCCTCATCTAACTTAAATTGAAATATGGCTCTCGTATTCTAAAACAAAAATAGCCTCACTCAAGTATCAATTACTAAGTATCTCATCACTGAAGGCAAGGGAGTCCATGTCACCAAAGAAGTGGTTTAGGTTTTGTTTGTTTTGCATGCACATAAGGTGAAAAATACCTTTGATAAGGCTTCCCATAGGCACCCTCTGTTCCCTGAAATTAAAAACCATCAATTCAGGAGTCTAGCTGTCAGCATAAGGCACACAAAATCAGCAGACCAGTTTTGCTGCCCCCTCTCAGCCTTCATACCCTGTTAGACTGTCCCGGTCTCACAGCCCTTCACCTCAGCTGAGTTTCTGCCAGATCTCTCAGTTCTGTCTTTTACAGTCTAGCTTGTACTCTGCCTTCATCACTCTGCCTCTATTTACAAGACCCAAGGTACATCTTCAGATCTTAAGAAGAAATTAAATTCATTTGCAGAGGTTACCCTCAGACCTTCTCGAGTGAGTGAGTAAGTGAGTGAGTTATTCACATCCCAGAATTGTGCAGCTGTGTTGGTGCAAGTGGGTCATGAAATGCCTGTGGGTGGCTGACAAGGAGCTGGTCTGCCCATAGGAGTTTGAAGGAAAAATGATTCCCACTCAACTTTTGAGTTGGTTTGGGATTTTTTTACTATTTATAATTTTCTTGAGTTTAAAAATAAGCCCGTTCCCATTGCTCCTTAGAGTCTGACTCAGTACCAACACCATTGACAGAGAGGGCCATACTTAGAGGTACTTGTCATCTTTGGGAGGAAAATCACTGGGCAGAACCAGAAGTGCCAGTGCTAGCCAGGAGGTGGCGGAGGAGTCAGACTACTTGTGTACCAGTTTCTGCATTGTTTTGGCAAAAAGACAAAGAGAAACTGAGGAAAGACAACAAAACCCAGTCCTACCTTCCATCTTCAGGAATAAGAGGATGAAACCCTTAATCACATTCCTGCTTGTATTTATACTAATTGCTCATCTTTCTGAGATCTGACTTGATGAAATTATGCATGCACACCAAATAGATGAGTTTCCATAGAAACTCAGGAGCTGAACTTTCATTAGAAAAATCTTTTTTAAAAAAATCTTCCAGATAAAAATGCAAATTTCCCTTCAGTGGGTGGCTTTCTGAATTTAGATATTTTTTTTTCTTTTGCACTGTAGGCAGATTCCAACTGGACCTACATAGCAACAACATGCAAGCATTGTTTATAGCAAGCCAGACTCCATGGGGAAATTAGAAATTCAGTAGCAAGGAGAAGCTCTCAAGTGCAAATACCGCAGAGAAGCAAAAACTCAAGTGCTTGATGCTGCGCCTTCCTGAGGCTTGAGGTTTGTGCAGCCTCCAGCTCTCAAAATGCTTGTGGTTTGCAAGGAGTGGTGTGGGGAGGAGAGGAGAGAGAAAATACAAAACCAGAAACTCTCCTGCACACAGAATTAATGATGTTCAACCTGTTCTTTACACATCAGCAGCATATTTGTGCTGCTTCAGTTAAGCCTCACGAAAAGACTGACACCATCTGTCACAGCTCACTCTGGGCAAAGGAGTAGGTCTCTGTGCTGGGGCTGGGGAGTGTTGGCAGACCTGGGTTGGCCAAACCCCAACCTACACTTGGGCTGAGGCTTAGAGTCCAGTGTCATGTGCCCACACTGCATGGAAGTCCAGGCATGTGTGCAGGAAGAGGGCAGGAGGCTTTTCCTTACCAGAAGGGGGAAGCAGGATGGTGACATGCCTGGGAAGGGCCATGGACCTGGGCAGCATTTGGCACCAACAGTTGTGCATGTAAGCAAGGAGGAGGTGAAAATCCCAAACTCCTTTAGCAAATGTTTCCTCCAAAAACACAGCAGTTTTTCACTTGTACATTATATTGCAGCATCAACAGGAGGCCTTCCCCTGGCTTTGGGGAGCCTGGAATAACTCTCTCTGAGGGTTCACAGATGTTTTCTCAGCTAAACTGGCAAGCTTGAAAGCACTGACTACTAAAGAAGAAATTTTCATGTGAGCTGCATTTCCTGGTGGGCATCTGCCCCCGCTGGGCACCGCAGCTGGGCATGCAGAACACAGTGCTCCACCTGGGCCTCGAGCACAGGCACAGCAAACACTGGGGAGCCATGGCAGGGAAGCCACACGAGGCTCTGGGTCTTGACCAGCAAGGGTGCTGGGGCATGCAGGGGAGCTGTGCTGCCCAAGCAGTTTACGATGAGGTGGATTTCTCTGTAGCACTGTTGAGAGGCGCAAGATGTCAGCCAGGCAGGGAATTCCCCTCCTCGTTGGAGAGGGATGACAGACAGCAGCTGCACGGGCTCACTGGCCCCTGTGCCTCCAGGGCCAGCAGCCCTCTGAGAGCATTGAGAGGCTCGATGCTGCATAGTGTCAGGGTGAGGACAGCATTGGGTCCCGGATCACCAGAGAGCACAATTGACTCTACTTGACCAGCACAGGAGGAAGAGATTTTAGGAAGAGTGGATTTGTGGTCAAGGGCAAACTTGAGCTGAGATAGCTCCTGTCTGTTCTTGGCTCAGCAACAGATTTGCTATGGCCACACTACTTGCCCTTTCTATGCTGCATTATCCCTGGCAATAAAGTGACTCAAATTATAATTGCACAAATACCTTCCAGTCTGTCATTATGTGCCTGCAGTCATCTCCAGGCAGCCACCTCCGGGGGAACCAACCTCTCCCACGAGGGAACCTCTGTTCCACCCCTACTGCATCTCTAAAGGATCAGATTTGATACTGAGTTGATTATTCAGGTCAAGGTTGTGGGCAAGAAAGAGTTAGTGAAGCTTTTCATAGCATCACCAATATTTGATTAAATGGGTGTTTCTTATTTTTTCTCTCAGGCAACTTAATGTGTTTCTGTAGGTACTATCACTGGCCTTAAGGATGCTGATGTACCCTGTGTTTAATGGTATTTTTGTAAAACCAAACAAAACAAAACAGAGGAAAAATCTTCACTATTTCTAAAAGCATCACCATTCTTTCATCAGAAATTTACTTGGGTTCTAGTTGTGAGAGATTTCAGGTTTCTTACATCTTTTTCATATGCACTAAAAGTAATTAGATGGATTAAAGATTAAGCTAATGCTTTTCTTTACATATATGCATCCACCTACTACATTGTCCCAGGAAAAGCATGAAGTCAGGCAGTCATCTCATTTGCCAGCATTTCCATGGGTCAATGTGGGCAGAAGCCATGCAGAGCTTGGCAGGTGACATGGCAGTGCTGGTTGCTTCTTCCAGAGGCCACACCTACATGAAGCTGGTGGAAGGTTCATCCTGGTGTGTGCACCTTCAGGAGGAAGCAGAGAAATGCCATGGATATTTTGTGGCCTGCAAAGCCCCTATCTGGGGCAAAGACCATCTGGGCTCGGTGTGATTGACGGCTGTGTAATTTACAGGGAGCCTGGCTCATTAGTGCTTTGTGGATTCAGACATATCCATGAGAGCCCTATAGGAAAACATGTTCTTCCTAACACTTCTTTTATCCTCCCCCTCCTGTTCCTTCCAGATGGTTACACCCACTTGTGTCTTTTCTTACCCTAAGGACAGCTTTTTAAACAAGGTTCCTGCATCCTTCTACTCCCCCACACTGCTGTAGGATCTAAATTGAAGTGCAAGAGGACAGAGCTGTTACATCCCATGCTATTACATACAGCCTGCCTGTAGAAGGCTGGGAAGGAGACCACATCCCTCTGCCTCCTGTTTGATGAGAAGAAAGATCTCAGTGTGGTCAGGATGTGGGAGATGAGAGACTTTACCTCAGCCTCAGCTGGGTGTTGCAGTTGTGCAGGAATGAATTCTGGCTGTAGTCAAACCTGTGTATATTTTCTGGGTAAGGAGAGAGGGATGCTTAAAGGGCCTGTAACCTTTCTTCCGTATAGTACCAGTAAACACTCTCCCAGTAGCACACAGCAGGAGCACTTGCAGAGCTGAATCTGAATCTGCTTTAAAAAAAAAATTATTTTCACCATTACTTTTTAAATTGTGCATCACTATCAAAAAACACAGAACTTAACAACTGATCACTTCTATTCTTCAGAAATAGGTGGAGATGCTCTCTCCATAGGATTCCTGTGCCTGCAGTCATAGGGCAGCTTGGTGGGAGCTTGGGGTACTTAATTTCTTCCTCTCTTGTGTGCTGTTGTTAACTGCTCATCATTTGTTTGTTGACAGGGCCTGGTGCTGAGCAGACTTGGGCGGAGGGAACTGGCCCAGAAAGTCCTCAGAGATGCCATCCGGATCCAGACCACCAGTCACATTGCCTGGAACAGCCTTGGAGAGGTCTTGCAAGCTCAGGGGAAAAATGAAGCAGCCATTGAATGTTTCCTTACTGCCCTGGACCTTGAATCCAGCAGTCCTGTCATTCCATTCACCGTCATACCCAGGGAGCTCTGAAGCTTTTCCATGTAGCTAAGAACTTTCATTGTGTGGACAGACAACAAAACCAAGCAGATAAACAAAGAAAAAGCCCTACAGAGAAGTGCCATTGTAACCTTGAACTGGGCTAAATAATTCCAAGATGGGGCTCAGGTCTACAGGCTTAGCTTAGACAAGCCAAACTGTAGAAGAATTTGCAACAGGCAGAAACAGAGAATGCCTTTTTCTTCACAGGTGCCTGGCTAACCTCCTGTTCAAGTTAATAGCAAGGCTTATTTTAAAGTATTGGTTCAAAGTGACTGTAGAAAGAATGTACTAGGGTACAGCTGTTTAAAGCACTTGCGCCTTTCAGTGTTCATTGAAAATAAAACCCCCAAGCCCTGAATTAAGCCCAGACCTGCTCTGAAGTAAATTCACCAACTAATTTGACCAAGTTGTGTTTAAGTATGTGGCTGTCTCCCCACAGATCTAACAGGACAAGTATGACAATTGCACCAAATAGTCATGCAGTATATGCTGTTTACAAAATTATTTCATCTATTTTGATAATCCTATTTCCTGCCTTGCTTTTATATACTGTATATGCTCACTATATTTAGTGTAGCACTTGCCTAGACCAATTTAAATTAAAAATACTTTTTTAAAAATAAAGCTGCTATTGCAGTATAATTCACAAAAGCAGAAAGACCAAAGACCAAATCAATTCACACTTGAACTAGTATTAAAAACACATAAATATATCCACTTACATATTTATTGAAAGGCTTTACATGAAGTTACTAATTATAAACTCTGAGCTTCATTCTTATTAATCACCTATTGCATCCGTTTAGTAAGGAATGTAGTGTTTACCAGTATATAGTGACTGAACTCTGTGCCATAGACTGCATTACCATTCCTGGCACAAAATATTTTCATACCCATCTTTTGATGATGCAAAAGAAGGCAGCGGTCTTTTAAGGGAAAGTGTGCTGAAGGCAGTATGTATGTATATGAATTGCTTCTTCCTTAAAATTAAATCTTCAGACTGTCCATAGAAATTTCACATTAGAGGTACAGAATTGAGCCTTCAGTGGCATCATTTTGCATCTCCTATCAGAGGTAATAGTGAGGACCTTCTGATCCATACAGCCCCCCCATGGCTGTGACAGCCAGGGAGGGGATGCAGCTGGCAGCCCTGCTGAGCTGTTCCTTAGCTCAGCGTGACCTCCCCGGGGCCTTGGCAGCGAGGTGAAGCCAGACTGTGCTGTCACACAAGAGCCAGCCCTGTCCAGACCAGTCCCAAGGTAAAGAAGTTAAGATGATGCAGAAATTTGCTCCACTTTTCTACAAAAAAAGAAAAAAAAAAAAAAAAGGTTTTTGTCCAAAGAAGATTTGTGACTTAAATTTGCACTAAAGCATACTTCGTACTATAATTCTGCCCAGTATTGTGATCCACAACTACTTCACTCCGGAAATAATAATATCCTCAGGCAATAAATAAGATGGGGCTGTTTCTTACTGAGCCTGAGGCTCTGAGAACAGGCTTGAAGTCAGCATTGTTTACAGTTATTTGGAAATCTGCATGCTAATGGAGAGCTGGCTCCTTGTGCTGCTCCCAGCCCACACCAGCAGAGAGCTCCTGCCCCCAGCCTTCCCTCAAGATGCCTGCACCAAGGGAATCACCCTGGTCTCAGGTTCCTTGCAGCAATCTGGTGCACTCCCAGGCCAATATTTATATTTTTTGCCCTTTAAATTATGCAGATGCAATAGCCTAGGTTATTTATCTGTTCACTGAGGGATTCCAGATCTGCTCTACTCTGATTTCACTCCAGGTGAAATCAGCCCAGCTGTGAAAGGTGCTCAGTCCATGAGTTCTCTGTCTTTCCAGTGCCACACAGGCCCCCAGATGGACTATTTTAGGCCAGGGGTAGGTTTCCAAGGAGATGGTGTTCCCCAGCTGCATTTCTTGTTTGAAAAAGCACCAGCAGCAGAGGAAGGAGTAGGTGTTAAAGTACCTGAATTAAAGGAGTTTCATGAAGACAGAAAGATGCAGCCGAGACACGTTTTGCTGTGAAGGATGCTATGAAGTCAGCTCGCTCTGCACTGAGGGGAGAAAGAGGGAAGGGGAGGGGGAGAGATGCTGTTGTTGACATAATATATAAATTGTTACCCAGATGTTTTAAACCCAGTTCCAGTCAGATGCAATCTGACAATAGATTTAAGCAGAGAAATATATAGATAGATATTAGATTATGGTGTTTGTTCTGCTCCACAGTTCCCAGGGTAGGAGCAGATCTTCTGTGTAAGACACAAAACAAGAGCCCGTGTGGTCACACATCGCTGTTCTGTTGTGCAGTGTATATTTGCAAAGCACTGCCATAGCAACTTCTGTGTACTGGGTAGCTATCTGAGTACAAGTTGCGCATCTACCTCTGCAACCAAGATGCTTCTTTAAGAGGTCCATAATGTAGCTGGTCTGTGACCTGGCAGGTGGGTGCCTGTTTCCCAGCAGCAGCTGAAAAGCACTCACTCACAAATTCATTTGCTTCTGTATACATAGCTTGTAAACAGCCACCAGCCCATCACGTTTGCTGTGATCAGGCAAACTTCATGCTGATGATAATCAGACTTGCCACAGCACTCATCTTCCTGGTAGAGGGGCAAACATTCATGAATGCTTTGAGTGCATCAGCAAGTCAGATGTTGCCAAGGTAGTCCCATGTTGTGTGCAATAATGAGTGTTTCTGGCACTGGAATCTCCAATAACTTTGGGGAACCAATTCTGCAAGTTTTAGCACTGACCTGAGTCTTAACAGTTTTCTCATTCATTAGTTTTGAAAGAGGAAGATAAAAAGCCCACATTATTGCCTAAAGTTTCGCATTTCTCTTGTTCCACCACAAGGTTCTTTTCCATTTTTTTGGAAGATTGCATGCAAAAAGAAAAAATAATTACCTTCTATTTTCCTGTTGTGCAGTGAAGGAGTTGCCTTTGACCAACAAGGAGGATTGTATATTGTAACAAAACTGACTCTGCCGTTAGGATAACAGGAGAAGCCAAACAGGCCAGGGAATAGCTCCCCTCCCTGCCTTATCCCATGTAAAGTGTCATCAGTGCCACTGGAGTGGTTGGTTATGAGCATTCTCCCAGCTGAGGGTCTGCCCACCTGTGTACTCATTCCATACAGGAGTACAGTGAAGCTGCAGACTCCTGCGCCACACAAGAACCTCATCCGTTTCTATTGGTAACAATTCGTGCTACTGATTATCACAATTCCTCAGAAGTGCTAATTATCTTTTCTTGGTAATGACTAATAAATCCAAATGGAGAACAGTCCTGGAGGGTGTTTACTTTAAAATTCACTGGCTGGGTACCAAAGCAGGCACAGCACTGGCTGCTGCAGTTTGAATTACACTTATTTTGTCAAAAAAATGCTCCATTTTCAGAGTCTAGGTACTTAATGAGTTTGGCTAGTTTGTATTTCCTTTTAATGACAGCAGAGTGGGAAACAATCCTTTTTAGTGAAAAGACATGACTGCCATTTTTCCAGCCAATCCAACAGAGATTTGATAGTTGCAGTTCAGCCTACATGAGGAAGGCTTCCCAAAGCAACTGTGCACAGGAATAATTCCCTCTGGCTCAGTTGTATTACAGGCATATTTGACAATTAGGCAATGGGCATGTGGAGCTGAGATGCCTTTCCCTCCTTACTTAGCTAAGGGGAGCTGCTTTGTGCCCAAAGGGACAGCTATGGCACCCATCTGCATGCCCATCAGCACTGCCCTGGTGCCTGCCACCTGCAGGGTGGCTGCTGCCACCAGCCCAGTGAGTCTTGTAGGCCAACACCCCATCACTTGTGCTGCTTTAATGACCTTCAGACTGCTCCCTAAGCCTGGCTCCAAGGGACAGTTTCCTTACTGCTGCGTTGTTCAGTGCTGCGGCATATCAGTGCATGATCAGATAGAAGGTTGTTTTTCCCAGAAATAGAAAGCTGAATCATCCATCAGTCAGTGATGTTGGCAGGAGGGGAGGTAAACACTGACCCAGCAGTTGCCAAGATGGTTCCTCCAACTTTACTTCTAATGAACTGGCTCGTGCCTTCAGCTCCAGGAAACCAAGGCAGGTTCCCAAGTGAACTGGATACTAAAAGATCCAGCTCATTTTCCCACAGAAACACATACCAGTCAGTGGCTTAAACTACTGATGGAGATGCAACGCTGTGCCATTGCGTAGCAGCCCATGATGATACAAGAACTTCCCTGAGCCAGTGCAGAGAAGTGCTTAGCTTTTGCACATCCAAGCATGTCCTACATGCCACTCTGATACTGTTGTCAAGGGTGTCAGAATCAGTTTTCCGTGTAACTTAACTTTTTTTGCCATTGTAAGGTATTTCCACCAAGTTTAATAAAATTGACCCTGTGGGAAACAGAAGCGCTCCTTATATTTCCTTCTAATTTCTGGACTTTGAATATATTCTAATATATTTTAATATATTTTATAAATACATTTTAATATATTCATGCCATGGATGCTTCAAGCATTATGAAATGTCCAGTTGTTACATTAACTGGAACCCAGTGTGCTTAGCAGTTGCAAAGGGTATTTTGGCCTACACCCTGTAGTTCATGGGAAAAACGAGAGTGATCATGCAAGCAGCATGCCTTCAGGGAGGAACAGAGCCAAGAAAATGGAGCGATGTAGCTTGTTTGGATTTGTAGAGATTTAAGCAAGCATCATGCTTTTTTTGTGTTTCATCCAGTAAAAAGAAATAAAGGTAGTGTGAGAAACTCTAACATCCAGGTAATATGCAAATACTATGCTGTCAAGTTTACTTTGTCACCTTACTTCGGCCACAATGCCATTAATCATCTTTTTGCTAGGAACAGTTACTCCTGTGGTTATTTGTAAATAAAATGTCTCCACTCAAGAGCTTCCAGAGCATTCTGTGCATTTACACATTAATCTTTTGGGAAGATTTCAAGAGGGCCTGCTTAAAAAGTCCGTCCCTTAGTTTCATACTCAAATGAGATTAAGGATGAGGTTTTTGAAGAACATTTCTTCATAACTGTGGCTGCTTTGGTTTATGAGTGTATTCAGCATAGCTCAAGTAGAATGAGGTTCCTCTGTGGCAATAATAGATTTAAGTCCTTCAGCTGCTTGTACGGACTTCAAAATTGAAAACTGGAGTGAATAAAATATTGGCTTTGACTTTCTTTCTCTTGATAGAAAGGAGGGAGGGAGGGAGGGAGGGAGGGA